GCGTGTGGCTTTACGAACTTGTCGGGTACATGTTTTAAAGATAGGAAGTCCTAATTGACATCCTCATACATTTCCTCTTAGCTATTATTCTCTTCTGAGGTTGTCATGGCGCGAATGTTTCTATTAGGACAAACATCTCGAACATGCTCAATTAAATTACATTTAAAGCACCGCCACTTCTGAGGCCAGAACACTTATTTTTAGGGTGGCTTCTACCACAGCACAATTAGGCGAATATTTGTTGTTTCTGAAAAACTCTTGTTGGTTGCCTGATAACCTTCCGCTGAAGTTACTCTTTCGAATACTACTGCTACCATTCGTCTGTTTCTGGCTAACGTTACTGTTTTGCTGACTTTTTGATATTGGTGTGAACTGGTCAACCTTGTATGTGCTAGCCAAGTTGCGTAGTTCTATTAGATAATCGGCAATTGACTGTTCAGGTTTTTGACAACACTTGTTGAATATAAACCTTTCGTACATATCAGACACTAGCTAGATTACAGACACAGACTACAACAAATAATGCTTCAATAATAACTCGGTCATTTGCTCGTACTTCAAGTCACTTGGCTTTAAGGGAGCTACTAAGTTTTTAAGTGTATGTTAGGCCCTGCTATAGTTTTACACATTGAAATTTTCATATCCTCCGATACCACGTCCACTTTGAACAAAGGCTCTGCTCTTTGCAAATAGTCGTCAAAGTCCTCACTGTTCCCGCTAAATGTTTCTATACCTCCGATAAATACAATTTTTATTTATCACTGCTGATCGTGCGGTTCTTTAATTTGGATTTCGTATTCACCCTTACTTACATAATCCCATCCTCGTCGCCAAATATTGCGTTTTTTAGGAAAAGACTGGGTCCAGACTAAGCGTGTGTTATAAGTATTAAGACACTGAACGGGGACTACTAAATATTCTACCGAACAACACACTGTCGCTTCTTTATAGACCCTCTGGTACACTCCCAATCCGAATATAGCCAGCATACACCACAAGAAAGTAAGCTGAAACTAATACGGAATTACAACAAGAAACCACTGCTTTTTGGGGAGAACCTACAATTCTGTCATTAAAATAGATTTGTTCCTGAATGAGTTTGCCAAAAAAGTTTCAGATTTGCACTTATTTTAACTCCCAAACCGAACGAAAGCGCAAAGGATATCTTTCACACTAGTCCAAAGCAAGAAGACCCTATGTTACGCTTATCCTTAATTAAATTAGGAGTATGGCAGATCTTCATTACATTTTCTCTCTAGCGCTGATATTGCCTGTGTGGAGCGATATGTGCGAATTTATTGGTATCATGAGCTTTTTCTGGAGGACTCGTAGTTCGTAATGTACATAAATGTTAGAGAAAATGTCACCCTTATCTGTGCTCATTATTATACTTGTCTCAGCGGATGATATGGGTCAATTTGTCTGCTAAATGGGTTGGAAAGAGCCTGGTTAGTAAGGCGAAGCTATCAAGTAGTCCTTAAAATATTCCAATATTTGGCAAAATCTTCGGGGATTAATTAGCATAAGATACGAAAACAAAATAATTCGCTGATTTTCAGTTATAATCTGTTATTTGCGACAAAATGCAAGTGTGTTAATTTCGCCTTTTTAATATTCCCCTGTATTACATTTTTTTAACACCTCATTCCGCGATATAGTTTTTTAAAATATTTGTGAACATCGATATTCTCAAATGCAAGCGAATTGGGTACCTATATAAAAATCGTTTCGAATTCTGTCTAATAGCACATCATCATTATCAACAGCCGTTTTGTCTCCATTACTGGCTTAGGCCTCCCGTGAGTCATTCCATTGCTTCCGGTCTTGAGGATTTTACATCCAGTTGAGCTGGATGGGCTTGATGTCGTTCGACCATGTCGTTGGGGGACGGCCTCGGTTGCTATTCGCCTCGTGTCTGGGTCTCCATTCTATGATTTTCTTTGTAAATCCTCCATCTCTAACTTTGGCAACATGCCCCGCCCAGTTCAATTTTAGTGTTGTAATCCGTTCAACTGCATCCGTAAAACCGGGTTTTTCCTTAATTATATTGTTTGGAACTCTCTCTCTGAGGGATAAATTCAACATTGATTTCTTCGTCGCTCTTTTTTCCACTTGTATTTTGTTTGTCACCTTCATGATAAGTGTCAGTGTTTCTGATCGATATGTTAGAACCAGAAGCACACACTGGTCAAAGACTGTCCTCTTCAGACACATGGGAATATCTGAGTTAAACATCCCTCAGTTTTCCGTAAGCTGCCCATGTCAGTCCTATTCTCCTGTTCAATTCTGTGGTCTGGTTGTGTTTTCCCAGTTTAATCTTGCATTCCAAACATTTATAGGCATACACTTGTTCTATTCACGTGCCATACGTTGAAATGTTTGGGACCAATACAAGGCTGGTCATGTATTCTGTTTTAGAGAAGTTAATTTTTAGGCTAACTCGTGCACAAGATATCTGAAGACTGACCATAAGGACTATGTCATCAGCAAACCTCAAGTTGTTCAATACTTCCCAAATGTTGATCTTTGTGGCACTCTGCAGCAGGTCGGTTAATATTCTTGGAGAGATAGTGTCTCCTTGTCTAATACCTTCCTCCAAGATGAATTTGTTTGTGTCGCCATAGTACGTTCTTACTGTAGCTGTTGGGTTATTATATATATTATGCAGAAGGGTCGTGGATCTATGATCAATACTGCACTATGTAAGCGCTCTCAACATGCCGGTATGCAGGACTGAGTCAAATGCATTTTTAAATTCTCTAGATAGCTTTCTCTATCAGCGACTTTATTTCTTGTAGGCCCTAGCATATTAGTAATTATTCTCGTCGATAATTTAAATAAGTCAGATGACAAGATAACAACTATCGGTCGATAATTTCCAATTTCATTTCTGTCTCCCTATTTATGCAATATCTTCATAACGGGGTCCCAAACAACACTAAAAATCAATTGGACATCCAAATCTGGTTCAAAAGAGTGGCGATGGTCCATGGTACCTTTTTCCTCCATACTAGGGGAGTAATAATTTCGACATCCATTGGACGTCCGAAATACGTGCATTTATAGGACGCCTGAGCATTGACAGGTGACTAGTAAGATGCAAAGTTAACCTCAATCAGAGACAAGTAAAACAGTAAACATAGACAAAAAATTGGTTCTGACTCAATGTGTCCAGTTTCTCACCTGTGCTTTTAGATAACAACATGGAGAAAATAAAATAACTTTATCCAGAGAAAATAAAATTATTTTATCCAGAGAAAATACAATTATTGTATTTCCACTGGATAACAAGCAGTACAGTATTTGATTGCTGGCATCAGTGTGAGATAATAAAAGTCTTAACTAATGATAATGTGACTGCTTTAATGTTAATAGTGATGTAAAGGAAATAATATGTTTATTTTTTAAGGTAAAATACCAGTGTAAAACCAATTGAAGTTTTGGAACTTTTTGAATAATAAGCCTTTTTGTAACTATAGAGTGTAGTTGCGATTGGTCTTCTAAAGCTTTAATTAAGTCTATTCTTCCTCAATGATGCAAACTGCAATATTTCCGTTAATACTAAGCTCTAATACGTCTTTAGCTGCAGCAGTCAAAATCTTCAGGTCACAACGAAAATAACTGTAGACAAAAGTCCAGAACTGGTTAAGGCGAGCGAATGGGGACATAAAATATGAATTGAAGGCCAAAAACGAATGTTTTCAGTTTTCGAATGTAATCAGTTAACTTTTTGTCGTTTATTTTTTAAGCTAATTTTTAATTTTAATTTTTAATATATGTGTATGAATGCACCTGATTTCTTAGTTTTATTAATAATTTAAATGAAATATGATTTGTCCATTAGAAGCCTTATGGACGTATATCCATCGGATAAGGTATTTTGGAAAAAGTCTCGAATGGTTTTATCTACTTAATTCTCCGTACTACAGAGATTATATAATCTTTAAGGAGTTTTACTTTCGACGTTCAGTGAGACTAACATGTTCGGAGTCAAAAAGTTTGAAAACAAAATACTCAACAAGCAACAAATACAGACACTCATTAAATTATATCGCTAGTAGACAATTAGCATAACAAACATGGGTGGGTTTTTGGTTTTAAGCCCTGCCTGTTATCCTCAAAATCAAAGCAATTTGCTATTCTTGAACGAAAACGCAGTTCAGAAATGTACACGGATCACGGAATTCTGAATAACTCATACAGTACTTGAGCACTACATTCCGCCAAATGGATTCGCTTCCCAATCAAAGAAGATTACGTTAGCCACGCCAAAAGGTTAATACACACATTTACATTCAGGTTTAAGCTCAGTTTGTAGGTGAATATGCAAATCAAAAACGAATTTACCAGCATTAATGTGAAGACCACATGAGGTGGGTAATGATAATGTAAAGACTTGCGGATTCATACAAGAAATTCTAGCGTAATTCATAACTCCCATAAATGGAGAAAAAGAACATAGTTGTTGTTTCTTAGACGACTATCGTCTAGTAAGAAACAGTAACTCGTCCGATAATGAAAATGTGTAGCGTTTTGAACGACAATCAAAGTAATACAATTTGGCGAACAATTGGAGATAAATCCAAATCTGGAGTCAGATATAGAGCAGTTATTTGGCATTGCAACTTTCAGTAGCTGAATTCGCGCTTCGATTTAATTTAAATTGTAATGGTGATGAAACGGAAAATCCGTATAAATAATGCCTGATATCCATTGAACGGTATAAGAAATACAGGATGACTACAAATTGGCACACAAATTTTAAGATCGGATTCAGGACGACTTGAAGATAACAAAAAAAAATTCAGGAGAGCAATTATTTCAATATTCCTCATTAACAGTTTTTAATTTAATTTTAATTTTGTTTATCGGTGAAGTTAAATCACTCAATAAAATAAGTACAAACTTACAGAACTGGTGTACTTGAAACTTTTGCACACTTCTCAGACGATGATATGCATATTCATTTAGTTTTTACATTGAAATTTAAAACGTTTAACATGGGTTGCAAATTTGAATATCCCGATACCGGTATCGACATTACGCAAGCATCAGTAAGCTGCTTTTGGCACGAATTTGTAATAGAGAATTAAAAAGTTACTACTACTAAACTGAGTCCATTTTAAGAAGTCAGTAGGTCCTAAGTTTCGGAACAAGCAAAAATCTACTATTAAATTTCATGCATACTTGTTTTAAGTTGAAACTGCGATTATATTTCAAATATTTAATAATCCTCTTGTTCGGTAATTACAGGTCAAATACAATAAAATTAAATAACTCATTCGTGATTTACTAATTCTTCAGTTGACATACATTTTAGTTCTAAGAAGATCCTAAACTAGAATTTTCATACTAATATAGAAAACATGCTGACGAGATGGAGGGCGGCTCAAAGACTTGGATAGTACAGAAGAAGCTTTCGAAAATAACTCCACAGAAACCAACGAATTGTTTTATGTGTTTGTATGTCCGTCAAAAATGGTCCAACCCAAACCATTCGGAGTGTAGTATAGTAAAGAGAATCTTACGTTTTAGCAAAAAAGAAAAAAGTTAACAATCTCAAACATTTATCTCTAAAACATTTCTCATTACTCACGTGTAGCAGGTTGATCGATAAAATTAAGCTTTACATGAGCGATATTTTGTCAAAATATTTTTATGGCACTTGAAGCACGTCGCCCTTAAAGGATCCAACATTGAAAGAACAGACAACATTGAAAGAAGTTGATGTTTCGGAAACGGTTGAAAAATGGCTGGGGCGCGTTAAACTCAATGTGCCACAGTTTTCGTATGGCAAAAATGACTAAAATATCTTTGAGTATAAAATAGAAATATTTTTCACAAATTCCCAATATCTACCAGGTGACGTGCGTAAGCTAATAAATACTTTTTTTATTAATATTGGGGAAATCGGAAACATATCAGAAGTTGTAAAGAATATTGCGCTTGAATGTGTTGACTATGTTCCTTTAAGTCAACATCATTACAAACACAATAATAAGAGAAGCATCTAATAGAAAAATTTTCATTCAAAATATTCACAATATACAGGGTGATTCAAAATTGGCGTAATTCCTTTTAAGGGGTAATAGCAGCTCACTTACAGAGTACAAAAAAAATGTTTATTCGATAATTTATAAGATATTAACAGTTGAAAATCGAATTTCAGCGTTATTATTAAGCATTAATTTGAAGTTGTTCCATGTTTAATTGAAAGCTTATTGGAATAATTAAGCATTAAAAAAGAAAAATTAAGATTTTTGATTCAAATTACGAAAATTTTTCATATTAAAAAAAGTTCTTCTCTTCTACAATTTTTCGAAGACAAGTTAAAGCGGCAATTTTTTTTTGTCATTAACAGATAGTTACAGGTAGTTAGCCTTTGTCAATAATAACAATCATTTGTCAAACTGTAACTTACTTTGAAGCTCCTTTAACGAATTTGCGGATATGCGATTAGTTCTGGGGAAATGTCGCAAAAACAAATCAGATGCTGTAAGAACGTAAGAAGGCCAACAAAGGGAGGGAGACACTGGCTCCAGGAAGATATTGGACAACAATAGATGTTCGGGCGCCAGACACAGAGGAACATCCAGGGGCACTCAGAAGATTGCACAAAAGCTGGCACTTTCCGAGGCACCAAATAAATACCGAGGAATGGCTATATTCCTACCACGTATGTAATATAGACACAGCACAAGAACACATTAAACCAATGGCTTACTGAACACCGGTACAAATTGAGCAGGAGTCAGTTAACCGAATACGAGAAGCTGCCCGAGAAGAATGGATAATAATGTGATTTCACAGGCACTTGTTTGGAGTTAAAGACTCGAATGTATGTTTATTTGTAAACGTATACAATTTGAGGTTATGAGGACAAAAATTGACATTAAAAAAAATACATTCCACATTCAACTGTTGAATCCTGTTGATTTTACCATGTATCCTTGCCAAATTTTATTATCACTTTCTGTATAATTCCATGGTTACCGGAGTTTTTAATAATTACGAAGAAACAGGTATCTACGTAATGTTAAAACGGCAGATTACCTTGAAAAATATTGTTGCCGTCTTTCTGATATAGTTTTGTGCACATTTCTTAGTTTTTAATAGCAAATAAATTTTCTTGCTGTATTTCCTGTACTCCCAGAACACCCCCCGACAACATCTCCAGAGGAATTACGCCAATTTTGAACCACCCTGCCAACTTTAAGAAAGGTTTTGTTTCAATAAAACTTTTGTGATTGCAAATGAACGTCAATTTCCTCTAATTATGGCTAACAAACTGAAGCTTTTAACAGTTGATTACTGTGGTGTTGGAAATACTGTTTATATTACAAGTCACTTCAGTGAAATGTTGGTCGTTTTAGTTATAAAAAACCGTAAAAGAATATTTTACGAAACGAGTTGACCACCGTTTAATTTCGCTCTCATCGTGTTAAAAGATCTTCAACTAGTTAACTTCGCAAACTTTCATAAAATAATTGCGCTTCTCTTTTGGATGTACCCAGTGTTGGGTATTCCTCGGTTTGAATATAGGGATTCTTGTTATAATCTAACCGACAGATAAAAGGAAACAACGCGAATTAATGTTGGCAGCCACATGAAGCTACGTAACTAATTTTAAATCTAATGATTAGAGGGTCGTTATACAAACCCGTTTACATCCAAATGAGTTGCATGAATACCTGTTCCCCTGAGAAGTTTTGTAAAAGTCCACTATAGTAAATATTTTGATTTTACTCCAATGTTTGCATTTTCAGATGAATCTTCACCTTGCACTTGTAACGTCGCCATGACGAGTTCAATACGAAGAGGCCAAGGCCGCCCTCGCCGCAAACGTATCCCGTGACGTCATGAACGCGTCAAGGCTCCCAAACACAAGCACCACGTTTTCGTCACCACCAATCGGTAAACCGTCTACGGGTTCCACCTCCGTGTCTTTCTGTGCTACGTGTCTGTTTGTGGTAAGTTTATTGGAGCTTCACTACTACACTAATAATAACTCCCAAGCGTAATAAAAATTGTTATTATGCCACGCATTTTGTATGTACCTACGTGTAGACAACCACAGGCGTCTTCAATAATCATCCCATGATCGTATTCCAGCCGGGTGTTAAGTCCACTGCTGAAATCTACGCTTTTCATATCGCCACTCCAACGTGTTGGCGATCTTTTTCTGCTTCTTTGTCTGTGCGGACTCGCCAATTTATTATTCTTCAAGACCATCTGTCGTCTTTGAATCTCGCAACATGTCCTTCCCACTTTCTTGTCTTTCGGATCTTTGTTATTTGTCGGATGTATCGGTTCCTCACGCGATCTTGGGTTCGAATTCCAAGCATAGCTCTCTCCATTTTTCTCTGAGCAGTCTCCAGTCTATTTACGGTGTTTCTTCTCAGCTTAAGCGTTTCGACACCGTTGGTCATTGCCGGCAATACGCAGTGATTGAAGACTTTTGATTTTAGGTTTATTGTATGCTGCTTCTGAAGACACCCCTTAATCTACCGTAGGCAGCCCCCCCGAGAGATTATTTTTTCTAGTTTCTGGGTTTGATTGAGTTGAATCTGTATTAGTCGACAACTTCCATGATTTTGCCCTCTAGAGATGTTATTCCACCTATTACCAAATTAGTCATGATTTCTCTGATGACTTATACAGAGGCCAACGTTTTATGTTGCCTGCTTCAGCTCCCTTCTGTATAATAATCTGCTATCAGCACAAGACAAATCGTCCACAAAGCGTAGATTGTTTAATTTTTCCCCATCTATACTAATACCTTTGTTATCACAGTCTATGGTCTTAAATGCATATTCTAGAACGGCGTTAAATAGTTTTGGTGCTAACTTATAACCCTGTCTTACTCCTCTTTGTATGGAAAACTTTCAAATGCTTCAAATTCATTTTTACTCAAATTCATTTTTACGCTGGCCCTTGATTGGTGAAAATATTATGTATCAAACGCGTGTATCTGTATTATATCCGACACTTATTAAGCGTCAAATGCTTCTGAAAGTCAACAAATACAAGCACCAATGGCCTGTTATATTATGTGGTTTTCCAACGGGCAGCTTGAATGGGAGGAGGGTATCTCGGATCGAGGAGCTGTGCATAGAATTCTTCTACTACCTAGATCAATTTCCCTGTATTTGTTGTTATTATGCCGTCTCAGTTCTGAAGCCTTCGAATTTCTCATTTACCCTTTCTCAGTTTTTTTCTCAAGCCCTTCAAACTTTTATTTTCATCTATTGCATTCATACTTTGTTTCTTTGTTATAATTTCTTAAGTCTTTTCTCATGTTCTATGAGATACGTTTGTATAATTCTCCCATAATTTGTTGGTTTAAGTTATCTTCCTGCTAGAGTTTTTTTCAGGTGTTGGCGTAGCTTGTTGTTACTTCTTTGTTTACAGTATTATACCCCATTCAATGATATCGATTAATATAGCAGCCCTATTACTTTCCATAAAACAATACGTGAATAGCAATATAAGATAAACTGCAATGTATCAAAAAAAACACCGATTGTTGCAGCTACTGAATTTGGACCTTCACGTTTAAACATTTTATTTTAAAAATTAGAGGGTTAAAAATTAGTAGGGTGGAAAAAGCGACATTTTTTTTTATGAAATGGCATTTAAATTTGCATTTTTGTAGAGGGTGTTTCGTAAGCCTTCAACATTACATTACAAACTGAAGCATGAGTTTTTTAAATCATTTTATCTTACAACTACAGAGTGATTCAAAATTGGGGTCAATCCTTTTAAGGGGTGATGGAGGCTCCCTTGGTGAGTACGAGAAAAATATTGAAATTTTTTTTTCGAAAATTTCTAGAATATATTAACAGTTGATTACTGTGGTGTTGGAAATACTGTTGATGAAAATCGCATTTTATCTTTGTTATTAAGCATTATTTTGAAATTGTTCCATGTTTAATTGGTAGCATATTGGAATACTTAAGCATTTAAAAATAAAAATTACGATCTTTGCTTCAAATTATGAAAATTTTCAAAAAAGTTATTTTCTACAATTTTTTGATGGAAAGACACAGCCACAATGATGTTTTTTGTCATTAACAGACAGTTACAGGTGGATAGCCCTTGTCAATAATAACAACAATTTGTCAAACTGTGACTGTCTGTTTACTTTGAATTTCCTTTCACCAACTAGCGGATATGCGATTAGTTCAGGGAAAATGCTACAGTCACATAGCAGAAGCTGAAAGAACTCACGCCAACAAAGGGCGAGGAGAGTGGTTCCAGGAAGATAGTGGCTGACAATCGATGTTTGGCTTCCAGGCACAGAGGAACAAGTATTGGACATACTCGAATCAGGGCCTTCCAGGGGCACTCAGAGCACAATAACTGACACTATCACAGGCCCCAAATAAATACCGGCTACATTCCTACCACGTTTGTACGATACACACAGCTCAAGGAGATACAAATGGAGCAGGAGTTAATTAATTAACTGAATACCAAAAGCTGCTTGATAAGAGTGGATAATAAGGAGATTACACAGGCACTAGCTTGTTAACCATTCAAATGTTTGGTGTTGTATGATTTATTTTTAAACACCAATAATTGAGGTTATGAGAACAGGTTGACATTTCGAAAGTACGTTGCGCAGTCAACAAATCTTGTTGAATTTACCGTTTATCTTTGTCTATCTTATTGTCAGTCTGTATTTTAATTGGAATTTTAAATAATTACCAAGCAACAGGTATTTGCGCAATGTTAATTAGGCAGATTACCTTGAAAAACATTGCTGCCGTATTTCTGATATAGTTTTTTTGCAAATTTCTCAGTTTTT